TGTTGCGACTAATTTTAGTCTAAAGTTTTGAAGTTTTTACATGTGTTTTACAGTTCTCTAAATTTGGGGAGGATAAAGATATGACAGCTGCATGACTGACAGCATTTTATGCCCTATGTAAGCATTGAAAGTGTGTTTGTGTGTGTGTGTGTGTGTCTATATTGCGTATATAGGGCATACGCAAGTCGAACAAGTTATACAATCATGTATTTCATTGAGTATATATGTAAATCATATCCTCCATTGAAAGCTCTGCTGAAATATAGGGTATATTGTAGGCGATCATTTGTTGTTAGAGTTATTATTTGACATACTTAAACATTTCACATAGTGTTTCTAGTGTTTACTATACAGGGTATATGCTAGTTGTGCTTAATGCACGTGCAATGAATATTTAAGGAAAATATCTTCGAAGAGAAAAGTCTTCGAGGGACAATTGAGGAAATGCTCGAAGAGTTGTCAAAGCTGCGATACGAAGAATTTTTTGCACATAAATCAATGTGAGAAAAGACCATTAAACGGAAAGGGGAGAAAGAGGAAGCAGTCGAATTGCTTTTGAAGTGCCCCGAAGCTGGAAATTAAAGTGTTCAAGTGATCTATGTGCACTCAGTAAAGCAAGCAAACAAACCAATTCAATAGAGATGCTTGATTTAGTAACAGCTGAAAAGTAGTTAGATTTGACTATGATTGATCGAGAGAGCATTGATCGAGAGTAGTTCAGGTTAGGTTTAGTCCAGATCAATTACCATACCATACCATCAAATTCCATACAAATATAATCTATAATATCCCCCGTTCCGCCTTCCCTTCGTAATGAAACAGATCCTCTCCTTAAATAGATAAATATTTAGTTTTCCCGTTTTGTAACATAAGTGCAATTGCTGCTCTTATAAGTACTATATCGTATGATAAATGCTAGGGTATATCAGTTTCGTGCACCCATAATGGAGTGCTCTTTCTGGTTTGCTCAAGTGCCAGAAGCAGGAAGCAAAACTAAAAATATAAAACAAAGTCATGTACCATATGGGGCAGCTCGAGTCCCGAGCCCTCAAACCGAACCTCTCGAACCCAAAACTCAGAACTCAGATACAAAACTTGAAGCCAGTTGCAGATGCCATTAAATTATAGCTACGATCTATTAGCGATCGAGCGGAAGGGCAGGGCAGGCCAAGGCAAGGCAAGGCAGGATGGGACGGGGCGACACAGTGTGCGATTGAGGAACTGAGGCACAGGGTTGCGACTGGCGACTCGTCCAGCGGGCAGCTGGCAGGCTGCCTGGCTAAAAATAGATGTGGCACGCACACACACACACAGAGAGCGAGAGGGAGAGAGGAAGCGAGGGAGGGGGAGAGAGAGCGACACAGGGAGAGTCGCATGCCTCAGCGATTCCCCCTTGCGATTCGATCTACGACTTGCCTGGAGTAGGAGGAGGAAGCGCGGGCGACTCGCATCGATCTGTAGATTCACTGCGATCGACTGGCTGAGAAATGTGATCTTGATCCGCGTGTCGTGTCGTGTCTGGGCGTTGAAAGGCTGGGCGCCAATGGCCGTGTGAACGACTATAAGATACCCTGTCGAACTATATTTACAATCGATTTAATATGATAGAAGTTTTAGTATAATAGAAAATAGATCTAAAACTAATATATAATATAATCGATACAAGTATCGATAATAAGACAAGACTGCATGATAGAAGTTTTAGTATAATAGAAAATAGATCTAAAACTAATATATAATATAATCGATACAAGTATCGATAATAAGACAAGACTGCAGAGCATAGATAAAAATATTTTAATGTATATTAATCAGCATCCATATGAATTATCGATAAATGAATTGATAACCAATCTCTGTAGCAGTTGATAAACCCCCCCAATTAGCAAAACGATATTCATTGCTCATTACAGGGTATACGACATTCAAATTATTGTTATTGTTGCAGTTGCACTTGAATTGATTATTGTTTGACATGGCCACGAGCCGTGGGGCAATCTGTGGCCCTATGTTTACCGTCTAGACATGGTCGATGGCCAGCCAGTGGTGCTGCAATTAGTTTCGATTTCGAATTCAATTTCGAGTTCGAGTTCGAGTTCGAGTTGCGTCGATTGCGTGCTGAGTGCTTTTCTCTGTTGTTAGAGACCATTAAGAAGGAAGGCTGAATATTTATAGGTATCGGTGTAAGGCATTAATTTGCTTTTGTTGTTATCGATAGTAAATACTATTGGTAGTCGATAACACCATGATTAGAGCCTTACTTAACTGTAACTTGTAGCAAAAGAGGGAGAGCAATGCAGTCGATAATATAGCTATTGGTGTTGTACGAATCTTATCGATAATGATCGTCATTTGTACTCGATATCGATAACAATAATCTGCATGTGAGCACCTTGTATTCCCATACAATTTGTCGCTTAGCAGATGAATTTGAGTAAAATACACATGATTCCACATACTTATCGATAAGTCGATCGATAACTGTGTAAACTGCCCACCCGTGGAGAAAATATGTCGCATTAGATGCCAGACTTTTGTTTTCGCCCCGATTAGCATATGAGTTATTCAACTCTTTATCGGAACGCAAACACTGAAACGTAACGAACCGAACGAACCGAGCAAATATTTGCCAACTGGATAGGCAAACATGGTCAAAAGACAGCGCCAGATCAGCCACCAGGAATAGCGAAAGCTGGAGAGAGAGAGAAAGAGGTGAGCAAAGGCAACAGAGTGAGAGATAAAAAGGGAACAGTCGGTGGAGCCTACAGCGCGCAATCTTATCGCAAGCAAATGTTTTGAGTTTTTTAGCGAATACTAAAGGTAAATATTATGGAGACTAAAACGAAAGAACAAGAGAGTGAGAGTGGGAGAGGGAGAGGGAGAGTGGGAGAGGGAGAGGGAGAGTCTAGAGGGACCGAGTCTAGGCGTGTTTGCCTTTGGTTTTTGGCGTTAAAGCTGCGTTAATGAAGGGGCTGCCCAGTTGACAGTTGACAGTTGAGCGAAACAGAAAAGAGGATGAGAGAGAGGATGAATGAGAGAGTGGAAGGGAGGGAGCTAAATAAGCAGACAAGGGAGCGAGATACTGGGGTGGTAAAGGACAGCGGAGAGTAGAGAAGTAGCGAGACAGACAAGGTGGAGTGAGAGAGAGAGGGAGAGAGAGAGTGGGGAAGATTGAAGGGCAAGGAGAGCGAGGAGGTAGTGAGGCGAGTCGAGAGAGTGAGAACTGGCAAATTGCAACGAGACACAACAGAGACTGAGAGAGAAAGGAGAGCGGGAGAGGTCGAGGCAGCGAGGGCTGCTGTCTGTCATTGACACTGGGCGTGCCAAAGGATGCAAAAGGATGCGCCACTGGGCTCTTATCAGCAGCCCGCAGCAAAACATTGACCTTTGCCAGAGTCAACAGTCGAGTTGCAGCTGCAGCTGCAACAGTAGCAGACGGCGTCGCGTTGATTTAAGCAATTAAGGGGCAAAGGGCTCAGTTTTACAATCATCAACAGTTGCAGCGCCTATTATGCTCTATGCCCATTCAAATGATATGTGAACTGGGTATATTCAAATTTAGTGTCGTCTTCATGGAATGGGAATACAAATATCAGATTGAAAAGCGAATCAACAATTATCAATTGCTTGAGAAAAGGGATTTTGAAAGACCTAACGCATTCGAGTTCGATTGAAAAGTGCATTAACGACTCACAAGAATTGTGATGCCCTGCTTACAGGGCATTTGCTAGTCGTGCTTGCAGTGCAATTGTAATTGAAATGCGGGTTCCGTTCATCGGGTTCATTGAAACAGACACGGACACAAGTATAGGGTAGTTCGAGTGCTTAATTGAAAATCAATTGAATCGCATGCTCGATGACAATACAAAAATAAATTTCTCAACAATATTTTTTATACTCGTATAATATATAATTGTCAAGTGTTGTTGGCGCTTCTGCACTTTCACTAAGTCGAACAGCAAAATAGAATAATAGAGCTATACAGTAAATAGCGAACCAGATGAATGTTGCTAGCCAGACTAGTTATTACCCTGTAGATTTACAAATCTTAGGCCATATTGAAATGAATGTTATATACCGTAAGATGAGATATGACAACAGTTCCATATCGAATTGGAACACTCCAGCATGCAGAGTATCCGAGTTCCATGGGTATATAAAGTATGATTGGATAGTTCAAATTGACATAAGTCTGGTCTTAAAGCTATATAGGTATATCATACGTAACAATAATAATAATAATTGCAATGCACATTGGCTCAGCTTTCAGGTAGCCTAAATGACAGCCTCAACTATTTACAGGGTATTCATCATAATCAGATTTTTATTTCTTTATGAACATTTAATGCGGTTTGAAGCTTTAGATCTTTTATTTCTACTTGAAGACTCTATTGAGCGCGTTGCCATATCGTTCACATTCGCTTCGACTGGCAACATTGTAGCTTACGGCGAAACGGGAGTGGGGCGTGGCAGCTAGTTGTCTGTGTGTTTGGCTTGCTCGCTGTTTGCTTTAGGCATTGGCGATTCGCATTCATTATGAATATGCCACATACTTGTAGTCTCTAGACTTTCCACACACTCAAGCTGCCGCAAATTATCGCGCCCCGCTTTGAGGCGCCTCTTCTTCTTTCCGCTCACCTACTCTCCCTCAGAATGAGTTGCGTGACAATCGCCCATTGAGCAGAACAAAGCGTTGCATGCTTTTTGACTGCCTAAATTTCTCGGCCTGCTCTTCCCCCGGCATTCCTCGACCTCCATGGCTGGCCTGACCCCTTTTCTAATGAGCTGTGCATGCTCTAAATTATCAGCGGTCTTGTTTGTATGTGTGTGTGTAATATGATATTATACATAAAGGCATATATATCCTATATGCATATGCAAACAGTAAACAGGTTGTATTGGCATCCATAAGCCATTTGTGCCTCTGCATTGGGCTAAAGAGTTGGCTTCAGTTGTCTCGACAACACAAGAAAATCTACTGAGTAGCTCTTAGCCGTTCATTACTATCCATCCATATTTATAGAGGTTATCTACAAGTCACTTATTATCTGAAGATCTTTTCTAAGACTTACTATACTTAGAAACAGGGCATCTATCAGTCTTTCATCGCAAGCGCTTACGAGGTATCTGCTAGTCGTTGCACGAAGGCCTTAGTAACATTTTGGTTATATGGGAATTTGAAGCTAATTAATGCTGCGCCCCTTAGTGGTGTCTCATCATCCTCGTCATCGCCATCGTCATTCTCTTAGTCATGGTTATCGTTATCGCTATCGTTATCGCTGCAGTTCTATTGACACCCATTGGGGGCGACAGTCCAATGGCCACTGATTTGCATTGCGACAGCTGGCATATGCTCGCTTCTCAGCTAGACCTTTGGCTAGGACCCACACATTCAAATAGAACGCAACAGTTCCCAAGGTCTACAAGGAGTTTAGGCATCTTCTTCATTCCATCTAATATCCATGAGTTGGATAGGATAGGGGCACTTCTCAATAGCTTTTCGACAGTATTCGAGCTTCGAGCTATAGAAATGAAATTATTACAAGAAAATATTCTTTAAAATGGATTAGATTACCAGAATCAATCGAGCTTGCGACAGCTCTCACCTCTCTCTTTCTTTCGTATTTACTTTACTCATTTTGTCTTGCTCTAACTCCATTTTTCTCTTCTCTTGTTTACTTCTCTTCACAGTTGATTTTCTTCCAACTTTTATCGCCATTTGTGAACACAGCAGGAAAACAGCTAAAAGGTAAGTGAAACACCTCAAAGACTGGAGGAAAGAGGCTAAAGTGCATTGTGAGCGAGGTTGATGGAACGGACTGCGGGCAGGAGGGGCTGGGAGGAGATGGTCTTGACAATGCCAACGTACCTTGGCGAGCTCTTGCAGGGCCTCCCTCACGAGTGCCGATGGGCTGAGAGAAAGACAGAGCACGGCCCGCCCCCAACTCTAGCCTCCCACTCCAGGGCTGCAGCTTCTACCCCTAGCCTTGGCTTCCTTACGTATCCTGGTGGACAACGCCTTCGTCGAGGGTGTCTGCTCGCGCATATTAACACTTGCGGTTATTTAGATTTTGACTTATGCCAGGCACACATACGTATATATGTGTATGTATGTGTGCACATACCCTGTATATACCCTCGTTTAGTCGTAGTCTGTTTGTCAAGCGTTTTTGTTTGTGTTTTGCTGCTGCTGTTGTAATTTTTATGTCTTCGAGGCTTTTGCAACAGCCACACACACATATCATTGTCACACACACCCACCCAGCTCATATGCACACACATAACTCATAAGCATACACACACACACACACACACACATACTCACACCGCTCTAGCTGCTTTCATTTCGTTTTTGCAACCCTTTTTTTAAGGGCTCCTTTTTGCTCAGTCTTTGTAAGCCACACACATAGACTGCAATGTTCGTGTGTGTGTGTTTGTCAGCAGCTCAAATTGCGTCCACCCTGAAGAGTATGCAACATCATAATTCCATGCAGCATTTTAGACAGCAGCCGCAATGTATGCAATAATTTTGCATCGAAAAGTTAATGCACACATGAGATAAATGCCTGACTGGTAGATACCCTGGCTATGCTGCTAGTCAAAGCAGCTGCAGCTGCTCGTATAGTATACCAAAATCAATCTGTATGCCATTGTAATGCACTGTTTGACTCGCAGATACCCTGTAGGTAGCACTCAACTGTGGTCTATGGTCTATGGTGAGCGTTAAGCCCGAGCTAGGAAGTATAAGTAACTATAGTATATGCATAATATATACCGTGTAGAGGACAGTGACGAGTAGATGTCCTGTACGACCTGGGACTAATCTACGCAATGCTGCGCTTGACTGGAAAATACCCTGTGAACGCGTGTACGCCAGACGCGCAGTGCAAGCTTTTTCGATGATTTGACTTTGTTTTTGAGCGTGTTAAGGCTAGAAATTTCCGATGACAGTAGATTCATGTATTACTTTGTATTCCATAGATATCCGATACCAGGCTCCCTTCACCACACATTTGTGGCTTGGCGAATGCATGTTTTATCATGTTATCACACTCCGAATGTGAATGCAACCCAAGCGCAGTCGCTGCGTCAACTGCGCAGCTAGCAGAGCGCATGAGTCGCTTGTTAGATATGCCTAGAAGAACTGTGGAATGATTGGAATCTCAGATACTGTTTGGGTTTATGTCATTTATTTTATTTTGTTTCATGCACCACAATATATAATAAACACGTTGAAACAGCATAGATTGCTGCGGTACCTCTTCTTGCAGAGCTCCTATTCAATTTAAAATACATGTCCGAAATCAATTTCAGCCCAAAGGCTCAGCGAGTGATGTCACTCTATCCTATTCGGCTGTATACGGGCTTTCCAATGCATCGTCTATTGAGAAGACATCCATTCCTAGAGATTGTTGTGGCCTGCGTCTTGCATTTTGTGCTGTCGCTTTTTTGACTCTCTTCGGTTTGTTCACTTTTGGTCGGGGCTTAGTAGTCCTCTTAGGCTTGCCGGTGTGGTGAGGCTTTACTCTCCTATCTTTCACTGCTTTGGTCACTTTTTTCACGGCGCGGCGCTTTGGCGTAGTGACCGTCTTACTGAGTTCTTCAGATGAGTGCGATGCTATGGGTCGCGAGCGCAAACGCTTTCTCTTAGCCTGAGTTTTCCGACGGGATTCGGGACTAATTACTTTTTTCTGCATTTTCAAAGTATTCTTGCGATGCTTCTTGCCACAGAACTTGCAGTGGTCGCTAGTCAATCGACGAGCCGGCGATCCAGCCATATCTTTAATTTTGCGAAAAAAAAAAAAATTAGTAAAATGTATATATTTGTATATAAAAATATATTCAACGAAATTCAATTTTGTATTTATTTCTCTATTTTATTTTTCGAAAAAAATTTTTTATTTTTTTTATTTTTAGTTTAGGTCTGTTCAGATCAACAAAATGAAATAGAATGAATATATTTCCTTTACTGCCCGACTCCCTAGGCTCTCCGAATGTTGAAATCGTTTCAAGGCTCGCTTTGATGCCCAGAAACTTGAACTAGAGTGTTTGAAAATGTTTGCTCCACTTGGGATTTGTGTAGGGTAAATGTGTTCCAGGGTATCTATATGTAATTTAGTATATATATTTAAGAAATAAATAAATTTAAGAATATTTTCGTTTCTTTTTTAAAGCTATTCTCTAGAAAAAGTCAACAGGGTATAGCTAGTCGACTATTTGATTTACCTATTGCAGGACATCGAGGTTTACAGTTGTGATATGCAATCTTATATTAACATTCAAAAGGTATTATTGAGTCGAGCTTTTTACGTGTAAATCGTGTTCTACATCTACATTCTAGTATAGCGCTAGATCCTAGGGTAACTGCTGGTAGAGCACTGTTGTGCGGCTCGCAAATCAATTTTTTAATGATATTCCAAAATCAAAGAGACACCAACGCATTTAAATTCCCCAACGACAAATAGAAATGTATAAATATTTAATTAAATATTCGCATAATTGATACCCTCTAAAATGATGTAAATGGATGTTCGTGAATAAACTAATAATTATAAAATAATCTATTCCGTAGCTCTAAGAATGCTAGAGATGGATTATAGAGCTTTTAAGCAAGTATAAGATGGAGTTTTCAATTCAAGGCTTACAGGGTATCTCTTAGTGAATGATCGCCCTAAATCGTTTGCTGAAAGATTTCAATGTTTTCATTTTTTAAATTGTTCAGTTGTACGTCATATAATGTGACTTTTGGTGGTATGCATCAGCAGCTACAGCTCCAAGGGTATTTTTCAGTCTAGCACTCCCAACTAAGCTTAGCACTCGAGTTGCTTCTGATTGGAGATATTTGGCTGGTGTGCGTTGGCGCTCGAGTCGATTTAAGGATCGTAGGTGGCTCACCAAAAACTACTTTAGAGCGAGAGGCAAAATAAGAGAGAAAGAGAGAGAGAGAGAGATGGACGGGCAGTCGGTCTTTAGGCTTAATTAATAGTATTTTGTACAAATTTGGTTGTCATCGTTTCGGATTCTTGCGGCTTAGCTGTGTTGGTCAACTCATTTGGTTGGGCAATAACCACAATACAACGCATTTGTATACCCTATGGAGAGCTAGACTGTATTCAGGGGTGTATTGACTGTGCGCCATTCGTGGTTGCCTCAGCCCTGGTAATCGATACTCATTAAAAGCTATCGAAATAAAGATGTGGATTGTACAGATTTCCAGTTTCTTCATCTACAGAGAGAAGCTAGTCCACACTTTGCCCAGTGTGGCTGTACAGGGTATTGCTTAGTCTGAGTGTTAGTTACAGTCTTTCCCTTACTTGTTTTTTCCACTTCTTCTGTTATCTGTTTTCCTGTTTTTTGCGTAATGAAAAATTGCAGAGTTTTTCCTTGCAGCTGATGAGTGCCAAGACTTCCCCCCGCGCTTCTCTCTCTCGGCCTTCCATCGAAACAGTTGCTCAATTCGCATATTTGCCAAGCTCCAGTGTGCGAGTGTGCGTGTGTGCGTCTGTGTGTCCCACTGGCCAAGTGTCGCGACGCCTTGGTTCGCAGCGCGTCGTCTTTGGGTCTGGCTGAAAGAAAGCTTTCAATGCGTTTCATGCGCCTCAGCTTTCCATCAAATAGGCGTCTTCTAATGCACGTTTTCCCAGACGTGTGCAGACACGCAGACATAGGCTGTCTAAATCCCCTCTGCTCCCCTCCTCTGCATCACCCTCCCTCCCTCTTAGCCGATTGCCCGCACACATACGGACACACAGAGCCAAAGTCGAGCCCAAGTCTTGAGTTTTCAGCTCGAGTCCAAGCCCAAAAGTCTGGCTCTAGGTCAAGGCTGGGCGCGGCAGGCGTTGCGTTTTACGTGACAGCCAATTTTTGCTTGTTGTTGTTGTTGTTGTTTTTGTGGTTGTTCATTGTTGGTTGTTTGTTGTTGACACTTGCAGTTACATCGATAAGCACACGGTGAAAGCAGCGACGGCGACGTCGACTGACCAAGAAATTAATGAAACGAAAAGAGGCATAAAAATGGAATCTAACTTGAACAAGTCGAACTTGAAATGCTCTGAGATGCGAGGGAGACAGAGCGAAGGTAGGACCGAAGGCCTGAAAGAGTCGGAAACACCGAAGGACTGAGAGAGAGAAGGAGAGATCTAGTTGAAGTAATAGAGAACGAAACAAAGAGATGCACAGAGGCAAGCAAAGCAGAAGAAGGTGGATCAGAGTTGGAAGGAGGGGAAAAGAGACAAGAATAGAGGGAATGATGAAAGAGGAGCGAAAGAAGAAAGCAAGATAAGAGTTTGGGAGGAAGAAAGAGGGGTAGACATGAAGAAAGAGATACAAAATGAGAGCGAAAGTACAGAGAGGAAGAGAGAAGGAAAGAGACCCATGCGATTTACGTTGGCTAATGCTACATATTGAATGAACAAGTCTGAGAGGCCCTCGCAAGTTAGGGTATTCGAAGAGTGTCGGTTGACACATGTCAGGGGAATGCGCTAGTTGATTTGAGATCTGCAACCATAAATTTGATTTGTAGTTCCACTATGTCAACAGCTGCTACGCCCTCCATAGCCTCCCTCTATGTACTACGCCTAGCTCCAACTCTTTTTCTGTAGAACTTCCAGAGACCGAAATCAGTTCTTGCTGTGGGAATCTTTATTTTTTTGTTTTGGAGAAAAAACGAAAGTGCGCTCGAAATGCAGAGGAAAAGAAAAGAGAAGAAAAAATGAAATGTGTAACTCGTCTATTTATCAGAAATGGGTTCGACGAAATGAGAAAAAGAAAAAACTGGGCTTGTTCTCATGATATGTTAGCTGCAATTGCGACTCGAGTTTACGGCTTAATCTAATTTCTAGTAGGGCAAAAGAGAAAACGAGCTTGGTACCAAAAATTAATAAGAAATATGATAGAAATTCCAATCGAACCTGTGAAGAATTGTGACTAGACTTACTTTCTTATGGGTACAGAGAATCTCTCTAGGGCGAAAACTGAACTCTTTAGCTATATATTATATACAACGATTGAACTGGCAGAGTAAGTAGATGTTTAGCCTAATTGGCATGTTCATCTCTTATACAGTTATCAGCTAATGAATACATCAACTTTTTAGATTCCCCATTCCGAACTTTGGGTCTTGAAATATAGCTCGCGAACTTGGATAGCAACAATAGTATATGCAAAAGGCGAGATTACCTCTCACTGAACAATTTCGTCTTGAGCCTTGCCTTAATTCAATTAATACCCCAAAGTATGTGTGGAGTTCAATAGCAAGCTTATGGCTATTTCTATTTGTTGTGTTTGTGTATTCGATTCGTAATATTATAAATTTTTGTGGGCCGTTAACAAATTAATTGTTACGCTCTTTAAATGTTAATCAAAATAGACGCCAACGTTCGCACAGCTACAAAGGGGAGCTGAGCATTATAAAAGCGGCATAAGAAGAAGAAGAAGAAGAAATAGAAAAAGAAGATGATAAGGAGCGAGAGGGAGAGTCAGAGGCAGAGAATGAGTGAGTTGAAGCAGAGGAAGGAAGAGGGCACCACACGCACACACACACACAAACACACACACACACACAAACACACACACACACACGCAAATGGGAAACGGCAAACGCCTTTGAACATAATTTATGGCCAATTTGATTTTATTTTCATTCAAATTTTATTTCACTTTAAGACGTTCCACAGCATCTTAAAGCTAAAAGCTCTGGGAAATGATAGACTACAAACTATTCAGCATTGTAGATCAAACATTATTTTACAGTTAAGCCAGTCTCTTACCCTAGAAGTTTTATTATATATGTAGAGGAAAAAACTGTGCTAAAATTTCATTGAGGGTATCTCTCAGTCGAGCGACTTTATGTTTTTGCAGAAGCTTTGCGGAGAGAGAGAGCAGCTCAAAGTCAGCATTACGCATATTACAGTGTAACTGGAAGTCATTCAACTCTGCGAATACTAGGTAGAAGTTTTTAATACGAGTCAATATATTTGTTCTGCTCATTGCAGGGTATTTCTCAAGTGATCAGTTGATTTTCTTCGATTCATTCGACTTTGTGCGAAAAAAAAAAACTTGTATAGAAATTTACAGCCAAAACAGAAAATTAAGAAAGAAATGGGAGAAAGAAAGAGAGAAAATATAGAGAGGAGGAGGGAAGAAAAAACGTTTTATTTTTGTTGTTTTTTTTTTCATTTTTTTTTCTTTAGTGTAAGCGATTAGCAAGAAGAAGAAGAAGCAGCCAAAGCAATTAATTGATGGGAATTTCTTTCTTTCTTTTCTAACTTTATTTATTATGATTTTATTTTGAACTTCAGAGGAGCTGCCGGTCTTTGGCTTCGTTTAAATATTCAAATAGAAATCGAAAGCTTTTTGATATTTTCAGCTAATTTCGTTTCTCTGTCTCTGTCACTCCCTCGCTCACTGACTCACTGACTCACTACCTCTCTCTTCTCCTCTCGCTCTCGCCAGCTATGTCTTCTAATTTTAGCTATAGAAACAATAGATGCATTTGGGTTTTGTTCGGGCATTACATAAAAACATATCAAAAGCTGAGAAATTAAGAAATAAAGAAACAAAATGTTTGGCTATATTTCGCTGGCCAGATGATTCGCTTTTCCTTTTAAGCGAAATTAAGTAATAGAGGCTTGTTGGGAAAAGTGTTAAGTGGGGGCGTGAGAAGCCCAGAGAGTGACGCCTTTGTCTTAATTACTCTATTAGCATTCACCTGTGGCGAGATGCGGAAAGAGAGCCTCAACTGTGTGTGTGAGAATCGCAGACAGAGGCACATAACTACTTCCTTAGTTTTTTTTGAGTATGAATCGATTAACTTTTTTTTATTTAGTCAGCATCTCTATCTCTCTCTGTCTGACTCCATCTCTCTCTTTCTCAACAACAATTGGAAATGTTGAAGATGTTTCTTGGACATGAGAAGCGCAGCGAGCGGCGCAAACGTTTCTTCAGCTCCAACAACTCACTCTATTAGCTAGTACTTGTGCCTGGGCCTCGCCCCCTCTCCACATATGACTTCATAGCGCTGATTAACAACAATAACTGTAATAACAAGCATCGACATTAACTTTATTTTTCTTTTTGTTGTTGCTCTTGCTCACATTTCACGCACTCACGTTTTTCAATGCAATGCTTACACACACATTACAAAAAAAAAAAAAAAAGCCGCAAAAGCCGCAAGAGGCTTCGTTTCTACCTCGCTCCCGCGCTGCCTCTTGTGCTGCACGTTTAATGATCAGAGCTTGAAATACTCTTGCTCTCTGTGTGTGAGTATGTTAGCTATGTGATGCACTATACAGCGCTATGTTGAATGATTGACTGACTGACTGTCTTGCTGATTGAAGTGAAACTTAGTCCTGGCTTAGCTGTCTGTGATTGACTGATTGATTGACTGCCTGATATTAATTGATTGACTGATGGACTAACTAATTGTGGCACATGTTAATATTGATTGACTGGTAGGATGATTGGATTGAATGGAAGTTTCAATGTCTGACTGAATAAACTGTTTGGCATATCAGCTTTGGTTGAGTTACTGATGTTGATTGATTTCAATTGATTGATGGATAAAAAAAACTATAAGTATATTGATTGATTGCCTACTTGATTGATTGCCCTTTTAACGAACTGGGTAGTGCTTATTGCTGATCTGGTTGATAGAGCTTATTGATTGCTTGACCTACTAATTGCTTGGCTAGTTAACTAAGAGACTCTGACAGTCAAAGCCAATCCACGCATTAGTTAACCAAACCTTGCATAAATTTACATTAAAGGGTATTCATGGATTTGTTGCTCAAGTGGATATCTTCTCTTATCTGTGACTCTCCTTAAAAAAGTCATGTTTTAATTTTTCAGCATAAACAATTATATAAAATATAAATAAGCAAAGCAAGAAAAAACGTATGTGAAATACTTTTCGCGCGTACTTAATCATTTCGAGACCAATGACAAATTATCTCAATGATTCGCATACAAATACGTGACAATAAAATACCCTGTGATAAACTAAAAGAATTTAGTAAATAGCAGTTTTAGTTGAATGACTGATGTGCTTGATTGAATGATTCGCAAATTGAATGGTCGATCGATGGTTGAGTCAGTTCTGATTATTGAATGATTAACAAGTGGATTGATGATGATGAGAACTATGCCCATAAGTAGATTGATTGACAAATTTTGTGATTGAATGACTAATTGAAACTGATTGAAAACATATTCAGTTTGAATTGGGTTGCATGAAGCCGTAATAAACGTCATTTATACCCTATAATTTCCAACTATTAATTGGTTCAGGGTATATGCGAAGCAGTTAGTTTTGCTTTCAGGAATCGCTGCCCAAAATTCGTGCGAATCTCTTGAAGAAAACGAAGAAGCTACAAAACATATTGCGCAAGTGGTTAGCAGTGAATGCGGAATGTGGGATGACCTTTTGCATAGTTCGAATCTGAAGTTCACGTCTTGTTCTGCCTCTGGCTCTGGCGCTGCCGCTGCCGCTGCCGCTGCCGCTGCCTTTGCATTTGCGTAACGTGGATGCGGCTTGAGCTGGGCTGCAACGGAATGATATACACATATACATATATAAGTCAAGGGTTCAAAGCAATAAATTGCCTTGGGCTCTCGGCTCACACATTTTAGAGATCCAAATGTGCTTTGTTTTGAGTTTTAAGATATAAAACTAAATATAAGTTAAGACTTTCGACAATCTAAGGAGGCTGGAGAGTCCAGTCAGACATTCAAGGGGAGAACCTAACCAGTTGAACAGATTTAGTTCAGTTTATATTCGGACTAGAGAGAGTTTAGACCTATTGCTTCAAATTGTATAAAAAGTTGTTATATATTCACAAGAACTCAACACAGCGTCCCCCAATCACTAGTACTCTAGTATGGGAGCGCTTAACTTATATATATGATATTTATAAAATATAAAAATATTCTCGAAATGAGCAAGGATTTGCTCAATTCCAATAGTTTCAGTTCAGCTTGTTGATTCGGTTCGAACCGAACTTTTATCTCGTCTTTCCTTTCCTTTGCAGTTTGAGCGGTTAAGGTTATCTTCTCTCAGCTCAAGGAAATTGTGGCTCATCTGGATTTAGGGTTTCGACTTTACTAGTTTCAGTCATGGAACGGTTCGGTTACTCAGTCATTGGCTTTCGGTTTCTGTTGGACCGAGGTGTGGCTGGCAATGAAGTTTAATGCGTTGCATTTGCCTAGCATGAGTAATGCTCTTTAATAAGTTGACAATCACAGCGAGACATAGATAGTAAATGTATAGGTATATGTGTATGCACGTGCATAAAGATGTGGCATCTAATGCAGTGTCGAGCTAATTTACGATGCATTAACGATAAGTTGCGTTGATTTCTTTTAATGACCTACGCCTCGGATTACTGCTCTGCGCGGAACTTTGACCGAGAGATCATTAAAGGCTAGCTCAAAAGGCGGTAATTTATATGGCATATTAGCGAGATGAACAAGCTGAACGACCAACGGATACCCTGTAAACTATAATAAAGTAAAAAGCGAAACAAGGGCAGTTGAGAAGGGGCTACAGAGATGGAGAAGAATGAATGGAGTTTTGAAGAGCTCTTATGTAATATATTTTAATAGTGGTTGCATTGAAGGTTTTTAGCTGTCAATAGGTTCAATTAGAGTTACATATTCATCTAGAGAGGCAAAGTAAATTATATTGGAAGTTTTCATGGATGCTTCTTGGAAGTGCTTACAGAGTTTCAGTCAGAAGATTTTTCTTTTATGATTTTTGTAGATGCAGATCCTATTTTAATTTCAGCTCGAATAGCATTTATCTGCTCGCATATGCCCTGATCAGTTTTTTATTGCTGCAGGGTATCGAAAAGTGCAAAATGTTTGCGCAATTTTAATTGGAAATTAAAAAGTCGGCATAAATTTTCGTGACTATGAACGCTGAGTCGCAGTCGCAGTCGCAGTCCTCAGCAATCATGTCCCATATCTTAAATCGTCAGAGTCAATGCCAAATGCATGCCATGCCACGCCCACATTATAAACTTTTACTTTGAACTTTGACAAAAAGCGAACAGAAAAAGCAAACGGGGGGCTAGGCCCCAGCTGGAGGTTAGAGACATGCGTGTGCGATCCCCTCCCCGCACAGCGTCCAGTTGGCCAGTTTCTGTGTGTGTGTGTGTGTGTGTCTTTTTTGTACATTGGCAAATTTGTTTTTAATTTGATTTCTGGTCACCAAGCTGAGCTGCGACTGCGACGCCAACTGCGACTTCATCTCCAGCTGCCATCTTCAGCTGCAGCGCGATTCCTCCTCGTTTGAGTCATTCAACTCGCGAGCGCAACTTTCATATAAAGCAATAGAGAAGACCTAGACTCGCAATTTACTTTCTTTACACACAGACAGACACACACACACAC